AAAAAAAAAAAACCATATTCACCTATTTTTGATCATTTAACATTCATTTTCAGAAAACAAAGATTTACTCCTAACAAATTTGACTAATTACGAAACGCATGACTGGGCGAAAAGATTGAATAATTTTCTAAATATAAATGCAACTAGTCGTCAATTTGAACATCACATTAAATATAGAGCAGAATGAAATGTATTAAACAAACGTCAAAGGATAAAATAATAGGATAAAATCCTAATGTATGATAATACTAAACATTTATGAATTATTATACAGTGAAACACACATTCTGATCGTAAAGTACATTATTTTAAATTTTTCGAAACAAAAAACGAAAATAAGAGAATGACTGCAATGTTGAGTACTTACTTGCAAAATGAAAATTCGACTTTATCCGAATGGTCAAGAGTGAACAATTGGAGAATAAGAACAGAACGGAACGAAAGCACGGCCGTTTTAAGAGTGACCGGCTATAGTCGATCGGTGTTACCTCGACGGTGAGCTCGGTGTGGACTGAGAAAGCATAATGTTGCCCCAATATTCTTCTGGACGATGATCGATGCAGCCTCGTATTCATTTTTGTCTCTTTCTTATCCCCCACCTTTATTTAAAAGAACAGCTCTATCTTATTTAATTTGAAATCACGTTTCTTATGCTCTATCATATAAACGTAACATTGAATATAAATTGAGAAACTTTTTGAAAAAAAAGAGTCAAGATAAAATGCATTTTTGCTCAATATTAGATATGATTAAAGAATTTTGTTCTTTTGTGAAAGAGCAAAAAAATTTGATTAGAAATGAAGTATATTTTCAGCACAAATATATACAATTATATTAGAAAATAAAACTTCATACTTATGATGATTATGAATAAGTAGACTATAATTTGTATATTTATTTATTGATTCTTTATTCAGGAAGCTTCTCAATTATGTTATATTATATGTCACGAGTGTATGTAGATTGGTCTGCCTCATTTAAAGTATAAATTTATTAACGTAGTATAAACTTTTAATTAGAAAGATTTCTGGTACTCACAATTTGGTCGTAAAAATACTTTTCACAATTAATCATATTATAATATAAAAGAGTAAATATAAGAGGTAGGTTTACCATTAACAATTTATTTCGAGTATATGTTAATTTCAATTTTTTTTTATATTAGCGTTTTATATATGAGACTTCTTATTAGAGAAAGGAGGGAAAATTAATTTGAAAGCTTTAATGTTAGCTTCGGAATTTTAAAATTACAGAGTACTGTGTGATGCGTGGACCAACTATAAAATCCAATTGTATATCCACGTGCGCAGAAAGCTTGTCTTGTCAAACCCTTTATTACATAACTCGTAGAACAAGATTATATCTTCAACTACCTAACTTGATGTTAGTCATCTCTAATTTCAACACAGGTAATAAATACATACACCTGTTCTTTTAAATATATGTAAAAAAGCAGAACAGAAAGTTTGGAAAAAGGCATAACTCATACTGTTTTTGTAGATTACATATTTATTTAATAATTTCACAAGTTGCGTATATTCAAATTTATTTGTATTTATGCTATAATACGATTATACTTGAAAATTTAAATAGATAACATTTAATTTATTTATTTAAAAATAATTTTTTACTCTCATACAATCATTACATTTACAATTTGCATTAAATTTTATTTCCTAAATTTTACAAGATTCTTATTCAGTTTTTTTATCTTAATGATAAAATGCATTCATGCTATTCAAAGTATTTAAAAAAGATAGATCTTAGATAATAGATCTATTAAAAGAGATAGTATTTAGATCTAATAGATCTAAATAGATTTTAATTATCTTAAATAGATCTATTTAGATTTAAATC